CCTTGAAAGGGTAGATCTGATCCCAACGAAGATTACCTCTTTGATCCTCCGAGGCGTACAACACAAGCCTCCTATGATGTGTCTGAACGACATGGTAAAAGCCTCCACATAGATGCATCATCCACCATGTGGAGAAGCGTAGACACCTCGAAAGGGAGGATTTGATCCCAACGAGGATTACCTCATTGATCCCTGAGGCGTATAGCAAAAGCATCATATTACAAGGCTAAACATCATGGTAGAAGCCTCATATCCAAAATCATTCGACATTCCTGGCCAACTCATATTAAGCACTGAGTCCGTACGTGTCGTTATCATTGGGCATCAGCCGCATCAACTTATGGGTAATGAGACATGTTATCCGAATATATAGCCGAGTGGGTCATAGGGATGTGTCCGAGTGTCGGGGAAAAGCTATGGGAGGGTTGTAGGAATATATACATTCAAGTGATCGTAAATCATCACTACATTGCTGTGGAGATCGTCTTTATTGATTCCACTATATATGTGTACGATTCCGACCATTCCTATCTGACACAGGGCTAGCTCGAGCATAACTTGGAGCTGTGGAAGTGATCACTCCCTTGATGGCCGCCCGAGTCGGTGTGATTATGAAGGACAAACTATCAATCGTGCAGGACACTACGATAACGAGACAGTCGTGATCGTAAGTATTTATAATTTTTTTTAACTTGGAAACTTAATTTTTGGTCACACGGTACCGAACTAACACATTATTATTCAATTACAGGGGCGATTACGATACAAAATTGGAGGAATAAATTAGCATGCGATTTGTATGAATTCAAATGTGATCCGTAAACATTCTGTATTTAATTGTTCATTTATTTATGAAATAATTGTAAACATTGTATCTAGCTTTCAGAGCTGTACCATCAACTAGAATTGTATGAATTCAAATGTGATCTGTAAACATTGTATCTAGCTTTCAGAGTTGTACTATCGACTAGAATTAGGGGTCGCATCACATTTTGAAATCCCCGAATGCATTATCCAAGAGTCATGAAGAAAAACTTATAGCAATTGTCGCCCTCCATCTCAATAAAAAATGTTGAGTCAGGATTAGTTGTTCCCATGTTATGGCAATATCTGGCCAATTTAGCATAGCTCTCCTCGGTCGACCTCATTAAATCCTTTAATGCACATTCTTTGGCCTTTCAGGCCTTCGATAGCTCATGACAACTCCATACTCTCGATGGACGCCGTTAATGATGTCCGAAAGTCTGTAGATCGTCCGTAGGTCCTGATTCTTGTACATTATTTGTTGACCAATAAACCATACTCAAGTTTGCCTATGATGATTTCGACGAATTTCCATTTCGCAAGTATGTTCCCGTGTATACTTGCAAACCTCATTCGTGTCCATTTTCTTTGCTCGCAAATGCCAACGGCAACTGTCATCGATGCAGACAATCGTCAACAATAACTTGTTTGATTTGTTAACTTGAACTCAAATTGTATTTCAGTGCAATTTGATACGCAGCTTTCTGTAAATCTTTCTTTATTTCAAATAATTGCTTGACATACAAATCCTTATCATCGAGAACCACATGCGAAGAATTAGATGACGGTCCACTCGTTCCAGTTCGTGCGCTCCCACCACACTCATGTCTCTGATGGAATAAAGTAATCAAATCATCATTTGTAAATTCAATGTCATTCTCATTAACGTTAACTACCGACGAAAATCTGTGTGTAATAGTGAGATCATGTTGAGGAAAAACTGACTCGGGAATAACCACATCATTCTCACGAACTATCTCCACTGTGTTCCAAAATCATCAACAATAACTTCTTTGTCAAATTGTGAAAACGTATCTTTAAACTACAAATTGGGAAATTACAACTACGGCAACCCACAAGGTTAAAACTACAAATCGAGGCTTCATAAGCAAATTGGGAAAATGCATCTTGAAACTCGAAATCATGTTAGAGTAAGGAATGATGTGCTCATAATCCTTGATTTTCAGCGCTTTTCCTGCTTTACACTGTGCACGAAGCTTCTCAGATTCATGTTCGGATCCAGTGAGACTTGGAGGCTCTCGAATATTGTGACCTCTTATGTTACAAGCCAACGATCAAGAAGTATGGCTGAGGAAGGTGAGACTTTTAACAATGGTTCTCCTTAGATCCACCAAAGACTTAAGTTTAGAATCCCCTTCACCATTCGCATGATGTGTAATTGTTTGCATATTTTTATACAGAATTTTTTTCACAATTTGTTTCATCAATTTTTTCCCTTGGATTTACAGAAGATCCCATAGATATTCCCCCAACTCGTGGCCCTGAATGAGGCCCCATTTTCATTTGGATTTCATTTTTAAACCATTGCAATATTTTAAAGCCCTTTTCTAATCCAATGGACTACCTAACGATGTTACTTCAAGGAGGACAGACACAATTTTAGCTTTTGCCATTTTCTACCTTCGGGGGAAATGGGTGGCTGTGGTCAATTGGCTGACCATGGTGGTGTTGGAATTTTGTATCAGAATTTGGTTGTGACCAATTTAAATGATTTAAGCTGAATTCGTTATTTGGTGAATGAGAAATTAATCCAATTTTAAGACGCTTAAACACTTGAAATTGTTGGAACATCGTATAGAATATTGTGGAATATTCTA